TCTGTTCCAAATTATAACTAAGGGAGCAGAGGACCCTCAGGTGTGGGAAAAACCATATATGGGGTAAAAACGCCAGGGTATATACTGGTAAGTGGTACCAAAGCCGGGGAACCAGGAAAAGGTTTTGAAGATACCAAGTATTAAACTACAGAATCCATTTTATTTTATTATTGTTATTTAGCTTTGTACCACGATTATATTTATTAGGAAAAATGGAAAAAGCAACAATTTAGTGGTGAGGATACAATGGCCGGTCTGGACCTAAACGGGCCCACTAAGACTGAGGTCCATATACTGGGTACATTAAAATTGGGTAAACACCTCGCGTACGCGAGCTAGTGACAAGCATGATGGAGGCAGGACTCTTTGAAGGTGACGCGAAAGAACACCATAACACCTGGGGCAGCTGCGACGAATGTGCGGGGTAAGTATACATAGCTCTAAGCTTTCTGAGAATGGCGATTGCCTTGTCGGGAATTTGATGCTGCTTGAAAAGTCCTCTTATTTAGAACAGCGGTGCAAAAGGGGCAGAGCCTATGAACCTCAGAGTTAGGCGCAGTAAGATACTTTTAAGTACAACTCATAAAAACCCACGAGGCTTGCAAAAATCTAGCCACCAGGTCTGATACCGAGGAGGAATTTCTGGGTCTTCTTCCAAACACACTTTCCGAGAATACCAACATTGGACCAGAACAGTCATGTGTCAATGAGAGACATTCACTCATTGGAAACCCTTCCACTAGGATGAGGGTTAACAGGTCTATAAGGACTATCAATCACCACCTTATCAACATTTCAACTAAAGGTAATGGAGAGGCTATACACTATGTATTAGAGCCACTCAGCATTGTTATATGAAAGAAACTACGTTTCATGAACTTGTGTTTCGCATACACAAATAAGTGGCCATCAAGGAGTTTTCGCTAGTTGTCTTTCTAGATATTGATGGCGCTTTCAACAATACGAGTATTATGCCTAGCGCAATATCGCAGGGGCAGCCACCGAAAAACCCAACTCACCCCTTCGTCTGCTGCTACCAGCGGATACTGCGTGATATGAATTTGAAGAGGAGCACTCGAACAACAAATGTGTATGTCCCCGAAACTAGTCCCCTGTACACTTTCGTGGTCAAGCCCATATGCTATGAGGTAGTGGTACCGTGGCCGCCACTAGTGAAGAAATCGGGCGTTGTCAAACGTTAACCTAACCCTAACACCCAATTGATCACACTATATCTATTTTTTGTGGGTGGAGGGTTTAAAATACCAAACACATCATCAAAGTTGTCGGCGCTGCAGTGGTAATATCCGGAGGCTAAAACACTATCCCCGCGTTTGGAACATTCCCTTACCAATCTTGTGGTAAAAGTGTTCTTATTTCAATTAATTTTTTGCGATTCTGCACGATTGACTTTTTCCTTAAAGAGGATGACATTTATGTAGAATGAAATATTGAGAGTTCTTTATTTTTATTATTTCTATATCACTGTACCACTTATTCATGAGTGGAAGATGTTATTACACATATGTATGTAGATACACGCGTGGCCACGTAAACCTTAGCACCACTTTTTTTAATTTTGTAGAATTTTGTATATTAATAAAAATAATATATTTTTTTAATATAGTTCTAACAGCAACAAAAACTATATAAATTAGAGTTTCAAACTTTGTAGAAAATTTAGAAAAAATCATCAAAGTTTTATTCAAATTTCAAACTTTTTAATAACAATTTTTAGGAAAATTTGGTTATGCAGTTACTAGCGCATTTAATTTTAGTATAATAAAATGCAAGTTTAAAGTAGCCCATTTGTATTCCATTTGTTCCAAGATCGTCGGCAAGAAAAAAATTCAAAAATTACCGAGAATTCGAACCACTTCAAACTTGCACTATATTGTACTAAATTAAATGAGCCAGTTTAATTCATACCCAAAATTTTCCTAACATTGATAATTTTCTCAAAATCTTGTACAAAGCTTGAAACTTTTGTTGATATCGTTTTTGTTGCGGTTTTAACTACATAAAAAAAATATTAACTAACAAAATTCTACCAAAGTACAAAAAAGTTGTGGTAGGGTTTGCGTGGCTACAAGTGTATGAATATTGTTAAGGAAATATTAAAATCCTTCAAATTACCATTCTTTTAAGGAAATGATATTCAGTAGCTATATAGGAATGTTTGAAACTTTTTTTTTAACTAATTTACGAAAAAAATTATAATAGCACCAACCACCAACACTTTTACTATAAATACGATATAGCAGTAGTTGAACGCAAATTTTCATCAGTTCAGACAATAAATAATTAAAAGCAACACGCAAATATTTCAGATTTCGGCCTTTAGAAACGTAGTCGTAAAAGCTTTTGATTAAAGTCTTGTAAAAAAAGTTTAAAAACGACCTAGGAGGTGATCGTATTCTATCAATGCACGAAGGATTTTTAATGTTGTCCTTTTCATTATCTGCCTCTTGCCCTTAATCTCTTGTTCGATCAAGTATGCTTGCAATTTCAACATAACTGCCACGCCCGCTTTTTTTAATCAAACTAAGTGTTTGAAACCAGAATTTGGTCATTAATCTTTATTACACTACGTCTGTTTGCTATTTTGTAATGGATTTCATAAATAAACAAAATATAATTTTTTAGCGTCTTTCTCGTTCAGTATGAAAAAGAAAAGTATATGGCAAAGAAATGGAGATAAACTTAAAACTATTAGTGTTATATATGTAACTTTAAACGCGTTAATAAGGAATTCCTGTGAAAAATTAATTTTGTTTTCGTGAAGTAATATATCCCGAACCCGGAGGGCAAAACCAAATCCGCGAAAAAATACGGATGGAACATGAATAACAAAATACTGGAATTAAGATGTTAAATTTGTTTTGTATTGAAAATAGTACATTATGTGCAGATGATCATATGCAAAAATATTATTTTTTTTATTAAACTTTGTCTTGTTAATTTAAATTTATCAGTTAGCAGAATAATATTCAGCCGACATATTTTACCCATGTAATAGAAAGGAGAAGGGCTAATCCAGTTTGTTTTATGTCTGTACCGACCAACGTGGAGTATATACATACATATATTGGGTGGAGTAATAAAAGGTCATTGCGTATGTTTTAAAAAACTGGCGTTAGTACAGTTCTGGCAACACTCAAGTTAATCGTATATATACATAAGCGATTTCGTTGAGCTTTGCAGATTTTACAAAAGGTTTAAGAGGGAAGACCAAGGAGTGCATTTTCGGCATATTCTTTTTTTTTACTTCCATATAGCGAATAACGCATGTCAAGCTTGTCAAGACCTTCGTAAAGGTGGACATGTTTTAAAAGAATGCCAGTGCCAAATCTGACTCAAGAAATGCCACTAGAATTTGGATATCAAAGATGGCCCTTAGTCATGAAGGCCCACCGAGGTTGAAGGCGAAAAAATTACGTAGTTGATGCAGTGAAATTAGTTCGAAGGGACATTCCTACGACTGTAGCGTCTACGTAACCGAAACCACAGTATATACAGTAATAAACCTTTTCGCAGTTTTTCACCATTTGGTCCCCGAGGAGTACTTTTGGGTTGTGTGCATCTTTTTCGTATTGCGCGCAAGGCAACACTTACTGTGGGGAATTTCGCCTAATGATAAGAAAAGTTCTTTTCCAGGATAAAATATACATAGTTATGTGTTATTTATGAACAAAATGTAGGTTAAGTATAATATTCATTAGTAATGTATGCTGATATTCATGCTTAATGAAAAATAATTTCAGCATTTAACAGTTCATTACCATGTACTGTGTAATATAACAAGTTATACACTGAACTATGATAATCTGTACTAGTATCTATTACTACGTTTATATGCACGTATTATTTGCAAATAACAATTTGCAAAATGGTAAACTTTGCCGTATAAACGCTGAGTTATTTTTTTTATTTGCAAATAACTAAATTATTTTTATTTGCTCCTTCTCATTATCAACTCTGATCAGATTTTACCCCCGAGGAGTACTCAAAAAGGTTTACTACTGTATATACTGTGACCGAAACGATCCATATATAGATCTGACCAAGGGCTGCTACCACAGCAGCATCCCCAAAAATTTTACAAAGTATGATACCAGGTTATGAGATGTGGATACACACATCTTTGACGACACGTCAATAATTTTTGGCGCTAAGATGGGGTGTGTTGAGACACTTGTTCCGCTCTCTTTCTTTGTCTCCTCCACATTCAGATAAATCCCCGATTCATGAAACTAACCGAATGGTGATAAAATATAATCGATTAAATAACTTTGAAGAATACGAAATGACTTTTTAATCCACCCACCCATATAGCTACGTATACCTATATATACATATGTATGTATATGTATGCGTGTATGTATATATATAGCTTATTAACATAAATAACCTTCTGAAGTAGGGTAAGTGGTAATTGCAATTTAGTTGTATATGTGTACATAACATATATATGTATATTTATATACGTTTGTGTATATATATTATATACATATATACATATTTATATACTGAAAATGTAATTAATATATGCATATATGTACATATATTAATGCTAATTTATATGTAAATGTGTGTATATATGGCATGTAAAACTGAATTTATAAAACAAAAATGAGATAAAAACTAATGATTGAATTATGAGTAAAGTGATTATTAAAGTAATAGTTTCGTGTAAATATGCGAAATACATGGGATAAATGTATTTGTATGTATATAACTAAATAATCAGGTTATGATATCCAATAATACTTAAAGAATCTATCAAACCATTTCTAGCGATAAAGATAAATGTGCGTAGAGTTAATATATGTATACATTAGATTATCTCACATATATATATATATATATATATATACTATATTTATATATACCCATACATACATAGCTTTATGGATATGTATACGCATATACACAAATATATATATAATTTTTTTATCAATATATATTCAAAAAGCCAAATGCAGACACAAATCACTTACCTGAGTTTGTAAACGTGTTAGTCCTCTTATCCAAAGAATTTGGCCAGCTCGAGGTTTTTTGTCAGAATCGATTGAATCGAAGCGTTCTTCCCCTAAATGCATAGCGTCAGTATATTCTTCAGGATGTCCACGGCCCCATCTATAAATAAATACGCGAAGTAGATACACAAAATATGTTAATGACTAAACACTCATTATATACACATTTAAATGCAATGTTTGTATGAAATATAGGCATGAATGAATGTACAATACGAACAGCACGATTAGAAGTAAAACAAGATTAATGAGTCGATCATAGATGGGTTATAGATCATAGTTGGGTTTGGGAACAACGCCACTGAGATGAAGATGGACATATATTATGAATAGCAACCACAGTCATGTTAAAGCCACAAGGCTGTTTTCAGATCGGAAAACCTGACGGAAACCACATTTTCAGAGTTCAATACGTACGTACTAGGGCTTTCAATCCCGGAATCCCGGACACTTTTCCTTGTCCAGAAGTCCCAGTATTGCAGCTCGGGAATCCCAGGATTTACAGATTGAAAGGGATATGGAAAACAGAAAAATTAATTCAAGTGCATTTGAGATGAAAACCCAGAAATAAAGAACACCAAAATTTGGATGCAAAGTGAACTTGAGTAATTTGCTCTAAGAATTGGATTTCAGAAACTGCCTGAACAACATTTTGTGCAAGAACTGTGTAAAAAGAAAAAATCTGGAAAATACAAGAAACTTTAAAGTGTGGCAGAGTTATTCCTCATATTACTTTGTTGGCATTTTTTTGGGAATTGAATTTCCACAAATATGAGTAAGGGTTTTTTACAATTAATATAGCTATTTAAACCAAATCGACCCCGTGTTGCCATATGGCATCATGTATGAGAGGGTGTAAAACAAACCCCCCTTACTCAAAAATGCTTATATGTACGTTAGCTAATTGCTAAAAGGTGTCTCTTTCGAAACGCTTACGCTTCCGTGAGTGTCTTGCTGTCTATGGAGTGTAATACACGTGTGTTCTTTGAACAAAATAAGAAGTGGCAGAAAACCATTGAAATGTTATATTTCATTTCATTTCATTTCATTTCATTTATTAAACAAATTCATTAGTACAATAAGATCTTAAAGCTCTTTTATAGTACAACGGTAATTATAAAGCACAAACATAAAGCAACGAAAGGAAAACAATAAGTAAAAAAAAAATAATAATTTAAAAATAAAATAAAAGAAAAAGAAAAATGCTACTAATTCTAAGACTAAAAACTAACATTCTTACTTAAGTAAAAACACAACGACACAAAACGTTAACATCTGTAGATAAATACATACACATATGATAATCCTAGCAGATAGTGAAACTCAGAGTACAAAAACTTATTGACGAAAGTACGAAAACAACACATTCTTAAAGTTGTCCTTGTTTAAGCTGCAGCGAGTAGCAGGTGGAATAGAATTCCATAAACGCGTGGCGTTGACAAAAAATAGTCTTGCAGAGTTAAGATAATTAAAGCTAGGTACAATTAAGCCGCTTATACGGGCATATTTTGGAAAGGTTAGCTTATTATACAGATAGCTAGGTAGCTTATCCGACATTAAACGGAATAAAAAAATACAATTCCTTGCTTTCAAGTACTCAGATATCTCACAGCCCAATAGGCGAGATCTCCAACTAGAAATGTGATCAAATTTAGCCAAACCAAATACATACCGTATTACGTGATTGAAAACTACTTCAATTTTGTGGGCAGATTGAGAACTAACTATCTAATTATAAAGAAATAACAATACATTTATTGCATTTATAGTTTTTTATACCCGAGCGCACTTGTGCACAAGGTTATTATAACTTTGTTCACATAACGGTTGCTTGTAACAGGCAAAACGAATCGAGACAGATATAGACAAATGTAAACATAAATGATCAGAATGAAAAGAGAAATCGATTAAGCGGTGACTGTCTGTCCGTCCGTCCGTCCATCCGTCCGCCCGCGCGTCTGTCTGTGCACACGATAACTCAAGTAAAGATTGAGATATCCCAACGAAACTTGGTATGTGCACTTCTTTTGGGCGTAGGACGGATGGTATTGAAGATGGGCAAAATCGGGCAATAAACGTGCCTACCTCCCATCCATATAACGGTAATTTTCAGAAATACGAAAACTGCGATATTTTAGTAACTACTGAAGATTATTCACTCAAAATTGATATTTACAATAAGTTTTAGACGAAAAATAAGAATATTATAAATTTTTGGAAAATGTGCGAAGCCGCGCCCACTTATGGTAACATGTGTATATCTTAGTACCCGCTGCACCAACTTCTTCCAAACTTGGCACAGTTGTTGGCCTTGGTACAACATACTAAATGGCCGAAAAGTTTTAAAATCGGACCATAACCGCGCCCACATCCCATATAACGGTAATTTAGAGAAATACGAAAACTTCGATAAATCAGCAAATATTGAAACTAATTTATTCAAAATTCAAATAAATAAAAATTGATGCTTGCGACAATTCTTTACGAAGAAATTCGTTTATAATAACATTTTGGAAAATGGGCGTGGCACCGCCCACTTATGATCACATATATGTATCTCGGTAACCGTTCTAACAATTTGTGCCAAACTCGGTATGGTTATTGTGCTTGCCACATGGAAGCAAAAAATTTCAGAAATGTTTGAAACTTCAATATTTCGAAACTTAAGGACGCTAATTTACTCAAAATTGATACACCCCGGCTTACCGTGTAGCGGTAGCTTTCGGAAAGGTGAAAAACATATATTTAATACTTGCGCTGGGTATTTAATGATAGGCTCCGCCCGAACTTAGACTTTGTTACATGTTTTATTTAGAAAATATAGCGGTGATAAAAAATTAGCTAATACATTAGTAACTCCATTTGTAACAAGCTTTAATAAAAAACAATCGTGCATGTTAGATAATTTAAGTGTTTTTAAGCCCGTTGTCATATGGAAACATGGGACGTAATGCGAACTGTCCCTCTTTTCTTCTACTATCAAAATACATCATGTATGGGAGGGGCTGAAACAAAAACCGCTTACTTAAAACTGCTTATTTATATGTACGTTAACTAATTGCAAAGTAAGGTTAAATTAATCTGGACGGCGTTGAGCCGCACATAGACCGGCAGGTCCTTGGTGTTGCCAGTTGGAGCTCGTTTTTACGCGTTAAAGTAGACATCACAATGGATGTCACCGCTTTTTGTTTATTTCAGTAGATTTTTCTAACTTCTCGAATTGGTAGGCTCTCAAGCAGTGGCGTAGCCAGGGGGGATTTGGGGGGATAGATCCCCCCCTTCGTCAGTGAAATGAAACTTTTTATTTTTGAATTAATAACACAATACTTTTTTACCCTTCCGCTTTATAATTTTCTTATTTCAGACTGATGACAAATTATCTTTTAATGAAAATATAAAATTATCGGTTGGTAGATTATGTATTTGAATATTTGCGAAATACACTAAGCCATTTTGCCTAGTTTCCCACAGTGTTGGGAAATAATCTATAATCTATACAAAAACTGTACTCTTCGACTGTAAATTGTATCGAATTTTTAATTTGCTCATATGCATGCATGCATGCATACATAGATTCCCTTCANAAGCCGCGCCCACTTATGGTAACATGTGTATATCTTAGTACCCGCTGCACCAACTTCTTCCAAACTTGGCACAGTTGTTGGCCTTGGTACAACATACTAAATGGCCGAAAAGTTTTAAAATCGGACCATAACCGCGCCCACATCCCATATAACGGTAATTTAGAGAAATACGAAAACTTCGATAAATCAGCAAATATTGAAACTAATTTATTCAAAATTCAAATAAATAAAAATTGATGCTTGCGACAATTCTTTACGAAGAAATTCGTTTATAATAACATTTTGGAAAATGGGCGTGGCACCGCCCACTTATGATCACATATATGTATCTCGGTAACCGTTCTAACAATTTGTGCCAAACTCGGTATGGTTATTGTGCTTGCCACATGGAAGCAAAAAATTTCAGAAATGTTTGAAACTTCAATATTTCGAAACTTAAGGACGCTAATTTACTCAAAATTGATACACCCCGGCTTACCGTGTAGCGGTAGCTTTCGGAAAGGTGAAAAACATATATTTAATACTTGCGCTGGGTATTTAATGATAGGCTCCGCCCGAACTTAGACTTTGTTACATGTTTTATTTAGAAAATATAGCGGTGATAAAAAATTAGCTAATACATTAGTAACTCCATTTGTAACAAGCTTTAATAAAAAACAATCGTGCATGTTAGATAATTTAAGTGTTTTTAAGCCCGTTGTCATATGGAAACATGGGACGTAATGCGAACTGTCCCTCTTTTCTTCTACTATCAAAATACATCATGTATGGGAGGGGCTGAAACAAAAACCGCTTACTTAAAACTGCTTATTTATATGTACGTTAACTAATTGCAAAGTAAGGTTAAATTAATCTGGACGGCGTTGAGCCGCACATAGACCGGCAGGTCCTTGGTGTTGCCAGTTGGAGCTCGTTTTTACGCGTTAAAGTAGACATCACAATGGATGTCACCGCTTTTTGTTTATTTCAGTAGATTTTTCTAACTTCTCGAATTGGTAGGCTCTCAAGCAGTGGCGTAGCCAGGGGGGATTTGGGGGGATAGATCCCCCCCTTCGTCAGTGAAATGAAACTTTTTATTTTTGAATTAATAACACAATACTTTTTTACCCTTCCGCTTTATAATTTTCTTATTTCAGACTGATGACAAATTATCTTTTAATGAAAATATAAAATTATCGGTTGGTAGATTATGTATTTGAATATTTGCGAAATACACTAAGCCATTTTGCCTAGTTTCCCACAGTGTTGGGAAATAATCTATAATCTATACAAAAACTGTACTCTTCGACTGTAAATTGTATCGAATTTTTAATTTGCTCATATGCATGCATGCATGCATACATAGATTCCCTTCACGACCAATGATTTGATGGTATTCACGGGAAAGTTTATGTAGGTACATTTACATATTTTACACTTTTAACATAAATGTCAAGGCAGATATTTTAAGATACACNGATTATGAATGGATAGAAGAGACATCTTCTTTGAATTCAGTACTAAAACTCGACATTTC